CTGAGCAAAAGAGCTGGGGAAAATCTGCTATAAATTGATGTATGTCCAGCTATAGCAAACACTGCAGACTGTTTTTTTCAGAAAAGGCTAGACAGGGGACAGGAAAATACAATGAAGTCTCCACTACCATTTCCTCTCCCAGGAACAGACCCTGAGACAAGCCACAACAGCCAGGATCATCTCCAAAGTCTTCTTTACAGCCCTCCTGAGCACTGGAGAGCAACATCGTTCACCTTCCTCCGCCAACAACTGGATAGCAAACCTAATTTGGGATGGTGGTTTCCCTAGTTTATAAGCAATCTCTGCTAAAATTCATATAATGCAAAGGTGCGTTAACCACTGACTTCACAACAAAGAATGGGTACGGAGTCATTAAAAAAAAAAAAAAAAACAGAGGAAAAAACCACCTGATCTCCTTCCAATATGAGTATGATGGCATTTGAGATACAGCACAAGGGACTCAAATCATAATTTTTTGGGAAGATAAAGCATAGTTTATATTCCCAGCTTCAGGCTTATTGTGTGTTTGCTTTATTAAGGTTTTCTGTTTATTTGGAAGAAAAGTTTCTGTTAACTATATCATTGTTTTATTTATTTATCCGAAAGACAATAAAACGGTGTCAGCAGAAGTTTGTCTCTCATGTTTCTAGCAAGAGTTCCACATTCAGACCTCCTAAAACAGAAAATTCCCATCTAACAGATGAAAAGTTGCCTTAGCCCCGAGGGGATTGGACTCATCATTTGGTGGCCTTCTAGCATCTTCCACCTTCATTCTCTCTCATCTAAAATCGTTCAGAAAGCTTTGTAAGCAGAGTCTCCTGAAATTTGCCATGAGGACATGAAGGGTGAAGAAATTGGCAATAAGGAGCTGACACTTCTTGCAGAGAACTTCAGTGAAAACCTTATTTTCCATCCAAAAGGTTGGGGGGGAATTTTTCATCTTATTCCGATTACAAAGTGCCTATGTTAGCGAGCGTGGTTAAGCTACCAACAACAGTGACACTGGCAAGCGTCTCAGAGTATGAGAGACAGCTCCCTCCTGCAGCCATCCAAAGACATGCTTCAGTGGAAACCAGCCAGAATTTAGAACACCCTCCACAAAAAATAAGACAGTAGCCAAGATTTTGAAAGCTCTTAATACCTCCAGTCCCATCCCACCTGATATGCACTCTGCCCAGGGTCTAGCTCCAGTGAATTTAGACACACATCAAGAAGGATTATGAGCAGATCTCAGAATAAAGATCTAATTCCTAAAAATTGTCTGCAACCTGATGTATATCACACTGACAGGTCTACTACCTCCCTCACTCCTGACCCTCCAAGAACTCTACATTCATCTATCACTTGCACTACCAAGATGGTAACACACACAATTGCATAACAGATACCCAGAAAAGCAGCTGTCTGAGCCTTACAAACCATGAGTAACCCAAATGGGCACACTCTACACAGGACTAGAGTAGGGCTTAACAGCTTTCCAGCAGTTTTTCATCACTGGAAACAGCCCACATGAAAAAGCACAAACAGTTATGATCAAAAAGGTACAATAAGGGTTGTGATCTATTTATTTCCAGATCTACGCCACTCATACTAACAACCCAAATACGTGTCAAACAGAAAATGGGTGCATGTTATTCTCCTGGTGATTTCATGGCATAACATTCCCTCCTTGGAATTTATGCTAAATCCTTTGAATTGTACTAAAATCTCAACCTATTTATAGCTTCACAATACAATGAATACAAAGCCATAATCTTCAACAGTTAACTACAAAGCATATTGAGAATTCTTAAAAGACAATTTTTCTACATTCAAAAATTCACAGAAGAAGATTTAACCTAATCTCCCACCTACTGCATGCTGAGTTTATGTCCCAGCAGTATAATTCATCTGAAACAAGGAGAAGTAATAAGTTACAGTCAAATTTTTGGAACACATGTGCAAACTATATTATCTGAGGAATGCAACCAATTAAAATATCACACTTCTATTAAATTGGTGAAGCTGTGTTACAATCAACAATTCTGCACAGTGCCTTGAAGACCTGAAATAAAGCCTTCTCCAGGTCTGCTAAGGACTGAGCACTCCTTGTGAAGCCAGTAAGCATGAGACGGACACAGCAGGAAAGAAAATATATGCTAATTTTTCCACGAAGTTGGCAGGTATTAACACAGATGGGCACCATATGAGAACACATTCATCAACCAAATGATACCAACACTGGAGGAACAGACAGCTGGTAGAGAAACACCAAACGGGACCTGGCTTCACCACAAAACAGCACACTACTGATTCTTAATTCTATCAGTGCACTAAGGCTCTACCATTTGACAGAAAAAGTCTTCAAAAACTTTAGGGAAAAATCATTTTTCATAGAATCATTTACGTTGGAAAAGATCTCTAAGACTGAGTCCAACCATTAACCCAACACTGCCAAGTCCACCTCTGTATTACACCCCTAAGTGCCACATTTACATGTGGCAACTACAGTAGCCACAAGGAGCGAAGGAAAGACTCAAACTAAGTAAGTCTTTTTCTTTTTACCAAATTGCAATTTCTTTATCAGCTACAGCTCTACTCTTGTAGCCAGGACACCTGAGAGCTGGCAGTAGAGATTAACAGGTACAGCTCAGAAGACTCGCCTGCCGAGGAGTGTGTCCACTCTGTCAGCTGCAGCTGTTGGCCCGCTAAGAGGTAACACTCCCTCTTACAAACCTCGCTCCTCTGCTCAGCTTGTCAGATCCCTCCAAAAAAGACACTGTAAGTGCAATTTCCACCTCATTTCTCAGGCAGGAAGAGGAAAAAGTGAGACAGACGGACAAATCAGAATAAATTCTTCTTGCCATGCTGGACAGATTTCACAGCCCAGACGCGCAAAGCAGCCTCTCTGCAATCCACGACGGGTCTGTGCGCGCAGCAGACACCGCATGAAGTTTCCACAGCCCAATCCTACCTCTGTGTGAATCAGCAGCTGACCTACGTGCGACTTCCATGAGAGCACGGACCCGCTATCCCTAGTACAGCTCCATCGCTAGTGTCCACCGAGCTTGTGAACTGGAAGACTAAAGTCGCATTAGGTACCCGGGAGTGTGGATCCGAGGTGATCCACGCGCCCCTGCACGGCGCTCCGCAGCCAGGGTCCCTGCGGACACCCGTGCGCAGCCAGCGGCTCTACCGGAGCTACTCAGCCGCCCGAACACCCGGGACAAGGCAGGACCGGGCAGCAGCGCCCCCGAGCAGGGATGGCTCGGGCCGGGCAGGGCAGCCGCCCCCGCCGCTCCGGCCAACTCGGGCAGCCGGCGCGGAGCCGCCCGCCGGCGATAGCGGGTGTCCCTGCCCAGCCGCGGTGTCTCTGACACCTCCGAAAACGAAAAGCAGGGAAGACGAAGGCCCGCGTCCCCGCACGGACAAGGGTCCGGGGGTCCTGCTCCCGGCTGGAACGGACCCCCAGGGGAACCGGGCAGCACCGGGCAGCTCCCGGCGCCGCTCTCCGCCGCCGCAGCCTCGCTAGCCGCTGCCGGCTCCCGTTCCCCTTCACCAAATGCACGATATAAAGCGGGGAAAAAAAAATTCTTAAATAAGCCAACTTTCCTCCCTCCCGCGGGAAGTTTTTTCTGCGGGGGGGGCAAGCCGACCTTCCCGCGGCTGCCGCGGGCGGTGGCCGGGACGGGGCTGCCAGTGGCTGCGCCCACCGCCACCGAGCCCCGCGCCTGCCGCAGCGGCGCCGGGGGGAGAGAGCCGGGGCCGGCGGCAGCCACCGAAGGTTCCCGGGGCGCCTGCCACCTGCGCCGGCTGCGAGCGGGCGCTGCCCTCCGCGGGGGCCGGCGATGCCGGTGCGGTTCTGCGGTGCCGGTGCCCTACCTGGGTGCAACATACTTTGGAAATAGAAGATGACGAGGATGAAGGAGCCCACGGAAGTGACCAGGACCATCCTGCACACCCGGTTCATCCTCATTATTTCCAGCACCGCCGGCTTCATGGCGTTGCCCGGCGGCGCAGAGAGGGGCGGCGGAGCGCGCACGGCTGGCGCTGGGAGCCGCTCCGCGCCCGCCCCGCTCCGCGGAGCCGCCGCCGAAGATGCCCGGGCGCCCGCGCCCCGCACGGGGGGCGTTAATGCCTGCGCTGGGCGGGACCACGCCGCGCGCAAGGCGGAGGGGCGCTCTGAGCCGCGCGGGGGGAGGCGGGCCAGGCGGGGAGCCGGGGCGGAGCGCGGCCCCCCCCCCGCGGCAGGGGGAGAGATGGTCCCGCCCGGCGGCGGTGGCGGCGGGCGGGGACGCGGCGGGAGGGACGCGCCCCGGCATAGCCCGGTGTGTCCCGGCCCTGAGCGCCCCGGGTGCCGGCACTGCCGCTGAACTTGACCGCTTCGGGATCACGCTCGCCCTCTTCAGCGGCTTGGGGTCCGCGCAGGAGCAACCGCCCCCGCCTTGCTTCTGCCCCGCGCCCTCTTTGTGCGGAGAAATTCTCATCTCCCACGCTGCTGGTGCCTGTCACTCTGCTAACCCTAAATGCCACCTTCCAAGTGCTCCCTCGCCCCAGAGATTATGTCACAGGCAGTCGCTGCCGTCCTGTCTCCCCCGGTGTCGCGCTGTCCCGGCCGGGAGCTGTTCGTATTTATAGCCGGTGTAAACACCAACTTCCCGGCGCTGTGAATCATCCCCAGCGAAAACGCTGCCTCCTGGCCTGCCAGAAATGAAAGCTCTTTTTGTTTTTAAGTGAGAGACTTTTAAGTTTTCTGAATTAACTGACGTTGCTCATTTGTCTGGGCGAAACAAAAGGTCCTTGCCCCGCAGCTTGTCCACCGAAGGTGGATCTACCTCTCGGTAGCCGAGAGCAGCACCAGGCAATGAGATACGAGACCGTACGTGGGAGGAATGCAGAAGAGCTCAGAGCATCAGAACAAAAGGCATCTGCCGTGTCCAAGCTTTCGTCGGGGTTTGGGACGTCTGGAGATGCTGCTGAGCCGGGGGGTGTGAACGACTGGGGGTCAACTGAGTCCCGAACGAGTTTTCCAATGTGAACCACACGGCCGAGCTCCCAGACTGGGACTATCCTCTTGCTTTGAACTAGACAGGTGTTGAAAAGTGCAGTGGTGAATGAAAATGTCTTCTTAACAACATACCATTTATCCTTGGGCTGTGTTAACTGTTCTGTTTGCTCCCTTGGTGCACCCAAATACCGATTTGCTATTGGTTTTCTTTTTTTGCTAAAGTGAAAATCATTTTACAATGCTGATACCATCTTCACGTGTAAAAGGATTTTTTTCCCCTCAGACTTTTGTCCGTTCTTCCAATGAGTTGTGGGGGAGGGGTCTGTAAAATGAAAATAGACCCAAACAGACTCAGTCCAAAGCTGAGAAGCAAGTGGGTAAAACATTTTATGCTAAAAAAAAAAAAAAAAAAAAAAGTTCACTTCCATTCCACCTGCCCCACCCAAAAAAAAATTCCACAAACCCCCAACCCCCCCAAAAAACCCAAGTAAACAAACAAACAATCCCCCACCAACAAAGAAACCCCAGCCAACTAACCCAAAATGTATGAATATATGAACATTTCTTTCTGGGTAATTGTGACAGAAACATGTAAAGTCATCAGAGTTTTCTATTCAGACTTTAAAAAAGCCAATTAAAAAGCTTTTACCTTAAGGATAAACCAATAATTAGTTATACATTTGAAACAGAGTAGATAATTTAGGCTTGGCCTAGAGTTCCTTTTATTACGCATAATTTCCATTGTTCATTAAGGAAGGTTTCACACACTATTTTGCTTATTTCCTGTAGATTTTTTCCATTTTTCTTTTAGCAGTTTTAATATGCAGTGACCATTTTCCAGTTTTCCTAATGTAAAGGAAACTTTAAATTGGTTTTTCTCTTTTAAATCCAAACTGTAAATGTAACAAAAAGGCATTCTATGGAAAACACTAGACAAAGAGAAGTATTAATATGTAGTGCATTGAAGTGGCAGATCGTTAAGGCAGTCAGCAAAAGTCAACCAGAAGCAGAGCCTGGCATTTCAGCATCCCCTGTCAATACATACGCTGCAGCACAACAGCAACTGCAGTATTTTAACAGAAAGAACTGGACTGTATCCAGGAATCTGGATAAGACATTGAGGGATGAGGGCAAAAGCCTAGAACTCAATACTCAGTCAAGTGACACAAGAAGAGATATGCTTTATGCTGCTAGAGAAGGTGGACAGTTGTTCAGTGTGGCTTAAAAATAGTTACTTTTTTATTTTCTGAGCATCATGCTCTGATGGAATGATGGAGAGCTTTAAAGCAGCAGGAAGAAAATCCCCAGCTGTGTTGCCATTTACTATTAAAAGAACATTATAAAGCAATAGCATCATTATGGACATTGTGATTACAAGCTTAACATCCATCCAAATGCTTACAGCATTTCTGCAAATTTTCAACTACAACAACCTTTCTGGTGAGTCAAGACAATGAAATGCAGCAGCCTACTTTTTAGAGATTGAGACAGCTGTGCTTTGGTTTTCCTACAGAAAAGAGCATAATTGAGGTAGCATAAGGAAACACAGTTGTCTTTCTAGATAGGTGCCAAGTTATAGAATAGGTAAACGAATAGCTCAGGCACTTCTTCTAATGCACACTTCTGAGTGGAAACTTCAGCAGCTCCAGAGCAGCAGGGAGTCTGGATGGTACTGTGGGTGTGATGACCTACCGTTCCCATGAAAATAAGCAGCGTTCAGTGTCTCTGAGCATCCAAGAGATGTCTGGAAAGAAAGACTTAAGAGATTAAGAACCAGGTGCCAGTGACATCAAAAGAAGTCCAGACAGTGTTTTGTAGAGCATTTTGTATAATAAAAAAGCCTCACAAAAAACCTAACCAAACAAAACCGCCCACATCCCTATTTATTGATAAAGCTCTAAAAATAGCAAAACTGCAGTTGAAAAACAGCCCAGACAGAAATACAGTATGTAGTAAACTCAGGGTGCAATTCATCAAGAAAATGACAAGCAAGCTAATACTGAAGAGCATGTTTAAATGTGAAACAGAAAACCATTAGAAAACACAAGCATCTGAGAGAGACATATAGGTGTCTGTGCAACTTTTCCTCTGTAGGGAAAGAATCTCAGAAAAAAAAAAGTGTTTGTTTGCTTTGGTTTTGTACTGATTAGCTTCATCATCCTGAAACAGAAGGTGAAATTTTTACAAAATGTCTAACATTTATTATTGAAGAAATACACACAAGCTTTAGGCATGTAAACTGCCTTCAGATCTGAAACAAACAGCAAATTTCAGACTCTCTGTCTGAGACTAGTTATGACTCCAATCCCATCACAGCTCTTAACCATCATAGGGTGAAGCAGTCTAGCCAGGTCAATGAGAAAATCTTCTAGACATGTCTTCTGGTTATAATCTGTAGGGATAGTTTTTACGTTTCTCTGCCAAAAACAGCCATATCATAAAGACACCAGGTCTTGTTGGGTTTTGTCCCGCAAGGAAAAAGCGCATTGCTTTAATGATTCCAGTCAGTCAGCGGACCTTCCATTGGACCAGCTACCCTAAACGGCACTGTCTGAAGGTAGATAGTCAAATAAATGCCCATGTTAATAGTCAGGCAAATTCCCTACCTCATACGTTGTAGGACCTTGTAGCACAGACTAGGATTGCCTGTTCTAATGCCAAAATGTGTTCAGTAATGATACTGTGTTAATGTATGATAGTCTTTTAAGATCCTGATTCTGAGCTCATTAAAAAAAGTCACTGAGAACCTCCCTAACCCAGCTGACTTCGGTGAAATTAGGACAAAGCTCATTTCCCTATTCAGATTTCTCACTCAGCAATTCACTGTCTCAATGAATAAAAGGCCACCCACCTCCAGGAAGCCACCACTGTAGCAAACTGAAAGACAATCCTTTCTGGAACTAAGCAGATACCTTGCCCCCTTCTTCTTCCCTCCTAATAAGAACCCTCACACACACACACACCCCCCTAACATGTTCCCAAAGCTGAAGAATCTGCTGTGTTTCTGAAATACCTTGACCTGCATCTTGTATTTTCTATGATGATGCCTTAGGTAGTGCTTTAATGCCTTTATGCACTTTTAAACCCGAAGGACTGAATTAGAAGGAAAGCCCATGTTCTTGCAGTATCTAACTTTTGGTTCCAGGTAGGTCTCCAGTGTCCTTTTCCATGAATAGAAGGGTTATCTTTTTTTTTTAATCCAGATTTTAGAATACACTGTACTAAATGCCACTGTGCTACCACCTGGCTTCCCCCTATTTCAGAGAGGATTTCATCTGCTATTGATCTAGAAGAAAAAAGTTTATGGCTTCTTGGACTGCATATCCCCCAGGTGGTGCAAACCAGACTGATGAGGCAGAGGTTTTAAGAATACAATGTGCATTATCTGAAAGGCATTGTTGTCTCCGACTCCCCTGTACTGGTAGATCACAGTTTAGTTTTGTACTTTATTTATTCATTAAGGAATTACAGCTTCCTTGCTTCCTCACAAAATTCACTGGTAGTTTTGTCCTGTGTTGGCAACAGATTCTTCCTTCTCTGAGAAGAATCTGAGAAGCTGAGGAGCAGGGCAGCATTTCCAAGGCTAAATATGGTGTCACTCCCACCTTCAAAACGCATGGGGTGATTTTATTATTATTATCATCTATTATTAACCTTTATTAATACCTTTATTGTTAACTGTTTGTTATTAATATATATTATTAAAGATTTATTATTATTATTATCCTCAGTAGAAAAACATCCTGACAAGCTTTTGAAGCATCTCTCGAGTGACACCCTTGCAAGAAACATTTTTTGCAGAATGGTACATACCTGGTCTGCAGGCTCACTAAGCTGTGCTGCTAATGTCAGTCTATCACATGCTTATGCCTCTTAAGAACAATGCTGTGGATTTAAATGATTTCACAATGCTGACAAACAGTTTCTGTTGGAGAACTGGACTGAATTAAACGTGGCAGAACACAGAATCATGATAAACAAGATACAGAAAAGGACAAGCATACATCTGGCTTAATTAAGTTCAGAAGGAGAAGCAATCAGGAGAAGCAATATATGATGTATTTCAAGATTAAAGTAGGACCTATAGGCAAAATCTATGGTCGATACAAGACTCCTGTGATACTAATTGCAAAGTTCTTAGACTCCTGTGATACTAATTGCAAAGTTCTTAGTAAAAAGCCATGGAGAAGATAGGCGGGGAAGCAATTTTTTAAGCTTTGCTTTGAAGGATGCAATTTCTAGAGGTGATGGATTTTTATGCCTCTGCCCACTGTGATCAACAGCTGTAGTGGATCAAACCCAGTGCTCCAGCACTGCCCAGGACAATGTCACGGGCTTCAGAGGAGACACCAGTTTGCCCTGCAACAGATAGCAGTGGCGAAGTGTGCCAAAAGACTGACATTTGCTTGAGACATTTATTAGGTAGAGCTTGGATTTTGTCCTGCAATGCAAATGGCTGCACTTGGGGAACACCCCCCTGAAAGTCAAATCCAAGAAAAATTCCAGTGCAACCTGTCACCACAGCTACAACCAGAACAGCCAACACAAATTCCTGGGCAAAGCAGACATTAAAATATTTGCCAAGTTCCAGTGAAGTTCAGCTCTTTCTTTTTTTTTCCCCCTCTCTGTATACTTCCTTTGCAACTTTCCCCGTTGCTAGTTAAGGACACTTGTAATGAAGTGAAATTATTGGAGTAAAAGTTAACAAATGTAAAGGCCAAAAAGAGCTGCAAGACAAGCTGTTCTGCCCATGCAAAATCCCCTGGTGTATAGTTAGTTGTCTTTGTTAAAAGGACTTTTAAATGGACAAGTATTTTCCCCAGCAATGGCAGCGGACCCTTAATTTGCACGGCAATTCAGATCTCTTTTTTTTGACTGACCTTGGGGCATCATCTAAGTGTGACTCAGAGCACAGAGAGGCTGAAATAAGAGGAATTACTGACTTTTCATGGGGTTGCTCATCCCAGTTCTATTCTCAGACATAACTCACCCTCTTCAGAACATATTGCTGCATCCTGCTATGCTGTTCCTTAGGCACAAGGGTGTCAGAATAAAACCTGGTAGCCAGGAAGGCAGGATGTAGTGGCTATTGGCTGGCAGAAGCAGCACAGCACCAGAACACTACAAATTGCATATACTTTTACAAAACGTAAGCAGGCTTCCTCCATTCACTCTGCAGCACTTTCCCAGCTGAACTTCAAGCAGGCTACTTTCAGGAGCAAATTGATTTGTCTCCAAGAGTTGGAGTGGCTTATATGTTACTCAGAGGGAAAAAAAATCAGATGAATAGGAACACACACACATACTTAAAAAAGAAAAAAAATATCTTTGCAGAAGACATGAAGAGAATCATAGTAAAAATTATTATTAGAGGGGGTGGGGAACAAGGAAAATACCTACCCCAGCCAAAAAAGAAAAAGGAAACTGGAAAAGCAGTTACTCAGATTTTCACAATTGTATTTTTTTTTTTTTAATAAACCCCAAAGTCATCTTCTGTGTTTACAGATTTTAAAAGTGCTTTACCATGAGTGTTAGGCTTTTCTGAAACAGTCTTCAATTATTTCTGAGCATGTAAATCAATTGCTGGTATTATCATTGTCACTTCTAGGGTAGATCCATCTCACCAACTCTTGCATTCCATCCAGCTGGTCTCCAAGTGGTCAAATGTCAATACGTGGTTAGTCAACAGAAAACAAAACACATTTACATGACACAATTAATTTGCTCTGTTTTAGACATCCAAAGTGCAATGAGATGAATCATGCCCTAAATGTGCCTATCGACTGAAACACTCCAGGACGTCTAGCTCTGCTACACACGCCTATCTTGTACATGGGGAAAGTTAGGGGTAACAAATCCCAAGAGAGCCTTCTAAATCTCTTTTTGTTTTGAAGGAAATGCTGACAAATCTTATATTTTCTGTGTTCTAACGTTCAGCATTTTATCCTGTTTTCTTGTCACCTGCCTTACAGTTAAAAATGAGAGCCACATTTTTCACTGTACATGACCTGACCATGTTAAATTTCAGTAGAGGTGGATTTAGGTCAATAATATGTCCTTTCTTTTCCTATATTTTTTCTACCAAAAAAAAAAATTCAACTTGGTACAAATATAAACATTATCCTTTATAAAATGTTTCCCATTAAAAATGTTAACCCTGTCTCAAAATTCAATATTTTCATACAAGATTTTAGTCCATTATGATTGTCAGTAAACTTTTTTTTTTCTTTCTTTTCCTTTTTTTTGCTAAAACTGAAGACAAAAACACATATTCTCTTTACCTGGAACTTGTTCAGAAAACGATTTTAGTGAACAGATTCTGGTGAAATCCTTTGTTATTTTTCAGTGGTGAAACAAGCTCTGTGCAATTTTTTTTTTTCTAGTTTACATGTGTAACTACAACATATTCCATTTACACACATATTTGATTTAATTGTATGCTTAAAGTCCTTAGGACTTACACATGTTGAAGATTTTCCAAAATCAACAGCAAGTCAACAGTCTTAAGTGGAAAGTTACATACCTCTTATGTTGTTATGCTTTTCCTATGTCTCATTCCTTTAACATTTTCACTAGGAGAAAAAAATCCACTGAAGCCAGCGTAGAAGTATGGATGTTAAAAACAGATCCAAGGTTGAAAACAAGGTGGGTTTTGTGCCCAGAGGACAATTGTACCACTGAAAATCATCAGACTGAACAGGAGAGGCAGCAATTCGTACCTACAAGTAGGATTTTTCTCACTGTCTACACTACAGTGACCTTAGGCTTGAGAAATGCTATGAGGTACTTAAGTGAAAAGCACTATGGGATTATAAGAAGCAGTTTAGAAACACATCTAAAAGAAAAGCATTTTCCAGAGCTAATTAAATACTAGGTTTTTTTCTCTTTCACCAGTCTTTCTCAATTAAAAGTTGTGACTTCGGGGACTCTTTCTATTTAAAGGATGTCGAGGTGATATTACAGGAGAGGGAACAGAGATAATAAATCACACAGCAGCTGTTGAAATAATATTATCCAACTTGCACAGGCATTTTTCTAAGTCACTTCACACATTTGTCACTCCACGAGTATCCCATTTGTATAATTAGTTACTCCTTACCTTTCCCCTCTGGTGTGGCTCCCTATCCTTAGGAACTGCCTACACTGGAGCTACAATTCCAGCAGAGCTTTGAAGTGTTTGTGAAGGACAGCATGACTCAGCTCCAGCGAAGGGAATCTATAAACCCCGTTGATAGCTGAGCATGGAATATCTTGACTTAGGAAGAAGAAAAGCCTGAGTTTACCACTAGTTTAATTATAGTAAGAAAAATTAGCACAATTAGAAAGGTTACCCAATTTTGTGAATTTGGCAAGTCTTCCTTCTGCAGTGTGGAAGGCAAAAACGGATATTTATGTCACCTTTCTTCAGAACAGAAAGTTTACAACATCTTCCAGAGCAACAGCAGCAACTACAATACATTTTCCTCATCCATTCTGGTATGGTTTCAGGTCTGATTTATGAAACATGAGCCATAACTCTATCAAAGCTTATCACTTCCTGGAGATGAGCTAGGATAACATATCCATATTGACTCTACATCATCTGTCAAAGGCTGATGAGGAACGAATACCATTAAGCTGTCTGTCTGACCCTGCACAGGAAGAAGAATGACCATTTTTTATATGTGATTCATCATTAAAAAAAAAACCAAAAAACCAAACACCACAAAACAGAACTGCTTTCTGGAGGCTTCATGTTGCTTCATTATTCTCTTGTAGTCTGTATGTAAGTAAAACCAATAGAGAATGTGTCCATAGTTTGGACTGCAGAAGTTTATGACTGATCGATTTCAAATCTGTGCTAGTTCCCTTTTCACTGGTCTCAAAATCAAGTAATGTTGCAAATGTATCCTGAAAGGCACATTGGTTTTCCCCCAAAAATCATATAGCTAGCCCTGAGAACACAGTTTTCTGTCAATGCAACTGTAAACTATCCCTTTTCAATGACAAAAAAAAAGACTTCAAATCACTTTATAAATAACTACTGGTACAGGATCCATTTGAATGACAGAACTTCAAACTCAGACTATTGAAAAGCGAACTGATCTACTGCTATTGGCAGAGAGCCCCAGTAAATCATGCTATACAATCAAGACGGCTTCTGGCACTGCTAGGAAGAGTGAGATTTTCTTGGAGGACATCAGCCTGAGGAGGATGGAGAGATCATTGTGTTGTCAGGAGATCCATTCACAGAAGTTTTTGTCTCCACACGATGCTAGCTTTTCATTCTCACCAAGACTGGAGATTTCTATTGCCTTTGTGTGGCTCATTTACCAAATCTACTTTTTGTGTGGCCATATCGTAACTGAGTGCAGCAGGTTAACCTTGGCCAGCTGCCAGACCCCCACCCAGCTGCTCTGTTATTCCTCCCCCTCAACAGAAGAGCAAGATGGAAAAACCCGTGAGTTGAGATAAAGACATGGAAATCAGTTACCAATTAGTGTAAGGGGCAAAGCAGACTCTACTTGGGGAAGATTAATTTCATTTTTGCCAATTAGAAATAGACTAGTATTGTGAGAAACAAAAATTAAACTAAAAAACAGAAAGAAAACAAAAAAACACAAAACAAACAAACAAAAACCCCAAACCCCAACAAACCCAACAACAACAAAAATAAATAACTTTGCTTTCCCCCAAAATCCTATTCTTTCCAGCTCAATCTCACTCCTTCACTCCTGACTCTTCTACTTCCTCCTCCCCCAAAGTAGCACAGTGGGATGAAGAATGGGGTTTGTAGTCAGTCCATATAACAGTTCTCTCTGCCTATCCTTCCTTCTGACACTGTTCAGCATGGGGTTTTCCACAGACTGCAGTG